AAAAAAAAAAGAAAACAGAACCAGCCCCCCAAAAAGCAGCTTTTTTTTTTTTTCCTCCTCTGCAACACAGCTGTGGAGAATTTAAACCAGCCTCTGGAAGAGGGTTTTGGTGAAAAATGAGAAGGAAGCAGCAACTGGAGCGTCTCCAAAACCATTCCCTTTATTCCAAAAGCGTCTTTAAGATGCTCCCACTCCCTCCGTCCCCGGGAATTAAAGGTGGGTTAGTCCGAATCCGCCTCGTCCTCGGAGCCATCCCCTCCAAACCCCGTTTCGTAGCACTGGGCCAGAGTCTTCAGCTCCTCCAGGGCCTGCTGGAAGTCGTCCTGTTCCAGCCCGGCCGTGAAGAAGCTGCTCCAGCGCCGCACGTTCCGCGCCCGCAGGTCCCTCCACAGGCCCGAGAGCAGCTGGTGCAGCACAGGGGAGGCCTGCAGGGCTGCCAGCACGGGGATGCTCTGCACAGCTGTGGGATCAGACCGACAGCTGGGGGTTCAATTTCCACCCCCAAGCCGGGGCCTGGTCCTGTTCTACCTCACCAGGTGTGAACAGCTCATAACTCGCACCCTGCAAACCCTCCAGAGGAGGGGGGGTTGGTTGGTTGTTGGTTTAGTGGGGTGGTTTTTTTTACCTCTGTTAGGCCCTGCCGAGTGGTGACCCAGAGCTTTGTCCTGCAGGAAGCCTTGCCTGGTCAGGAGAGGAGAGAAGAACTGGGGGAAGGGAGGTGTGGTGCTGCAGGGCTGCTGGAGCACGTGGGCTGTGCTGTTTGTGGGGGGAGGGAAAGGTGAATAAAATTACCCCAAAACTCCCTCAAAACTGCTCCCTGGTCTGAAGCAACCCGTACCCACCTGAAGGAGCCCGGGAAGTGGGTGTGGAGGTAGAGCTGGAGCATCTCCTGGGGGCTCTCCCAGCCCTGCAGGGGCGTGCGGGGCTGCCGTCCCGGGGAGCTGCTGCGAAGGATAACCAAAGCGGGGCTTTCCAGGCTGCAAACCCCCCAACCTGCCTGACTCAGCTGCTTTGGAGCTGCTTTGCTCTAAAATCAAACTGCCTCAGTCACTGGGCTTGCTCCTCTCCCAAAGGGAGGGGAGTTTGGGGGTGACTCCTGGCGGGAATCAGGGCCGGGAGAGCCGGGGCTGCCGGGGCACGAGCGCGGTTCAGACGCCGATTTACCTGCCGGGCCTTTCTCTGCCGACTCCTCGCAGCACAACAGACTGAGCAAAACAGCAGCTGACCTTTTGCTCCCTGCAGGAGGACAGGAGGAGCTTCCAGGGCACATCCTGCCGGTGGGCACTCAGGATATCTGGGAGCGAGGAGCCGGGAGAGGCGGGGAAGGGGAGAGACGCCCACGCAGCCACCACCTGGATCAGGGGGTGACAAACAGCCTGGAACACCCCCCTGCAAGTGCAGGACAGCATTCCCTGCCTCCTGCAGAGCTGGGGACATCGGGGGGGGTGTTCTTGGTGT